CGAGTTTATGTCCTCGCCGATTTGATCGTACAGCTGTTCAAGAAAACGGAAGCAAACACCACTGAGGTGCCGTTCATAAACGACGTCACGTTGAAAAAGCCGTTTCTGAATTATACTACCTGCCGATCCGGCTGTCGCGTTTCAACAAAACTTGGTAGTCGAGGGTTTCCCATGACGAGTCATTGCCTACGGCATCGGCTAACGATAGCAGGAAGGGGATCGAGTGGCCGGTCGTTAAGGATTCATAGCGCAATAATTTAATGTTGTCGAACTACAGTATAGTACGTATAGCAATACCACAACCACACCGTTCGGTTTATAGTGGCATTTTGAAACGAACCCGCTGATGCTCTTACCCGATCAACAGTGGGCTGCAGGATGATGTCAAACCACTGGCCACAAATGACCTGACGAGCATCATACTTGAAACAGGTCTCAAGGAAATCGAGGGCAACCACGAGTGTCCTAGTGAGATCGCCATCGCGATCATCTTCGTCATCGGCAAAGTATTTTCCACTGTCTAAAAACAAGGAACTAGGTAAACAAAACTGCCAGAAACTTTTTGTCATATCTTTAATAAAATTACACTAGTCCAATAGATCAGAAGAAGGCTTGACGAAACCATGGTCGAACAACATAAACAAACGACGGAGATGAGCTTCCAAGCTATGAAACGCATCTGGTGGTTTTAGAGCATGAACTTCATAAGGTTTCGAAGCTTGCCATTTTCCTGCGACGTAGAGCGTGGACGAGCGACGTCGTCACATGACCTCATCGAAGTCGAGGATCATCATCCAACGAACTGCGCCACTAGCAGCTTCAAGCTGTTCTTTGACACCTTCGTAGCGAGGGAGAAGAAGGTTGCGATGACCTCAGGTTCAACGTCGTCTATGCTGCCTAGCACCCGGTTCTACAAAGAAAGACGTCAAGGAATACGAACAAACAAATATGGAATCTACCTAATCGAATTTGTACAGAACGTCCAGCGCCTCAGTGAAAATATAGACGAAATCCTATGTACAGTAAATGACATCCTTTGACGAGTTATGGACCAGATGTTCACTGAGCACGTCGACAGCGAACAGGAATGAGTCCTAAACAAAAAGGCGAACGAATCACATAATCAAGATCAGGACTCATATTGTAAATGATATACATACCGGATTAACAGCAGACAGTGGCGTCTTTTATATGGTCTTTTTGATCACCGGCATAATCATCCTTCCAGGAAGGAGCGCGAGACACTTCTTGATGACCATTTTCTTGTTTCATATGTAACTAGTGTACTGATACGAAAGTACAGTCCCGTATAATAACTTGCCACCGATCTATAAATTAAGCATCGTTAATTAAATGCCTAAATATATAATTATATTCTCATAACGATTATGCTTACACTTTCATTTAGGTTTGTGATGTAAGGAGCTATAAACGAACCGTCATCACGTTTCCTAACGCTGTTAGAATATTGAACAAAATCAGTTCACTTCTGAAAACGACTAGAAGCTTTACACTGCTGCCTATGCCATCATTTTACACACCTGTCCTTACCTGTAATCATCGCTGTTCAAAATGGCCATCAGACAGGATACATATATGGGCATTTGAGCAATAGCGCCAGCTTCCAGCACTCTGATCAAGTTAGCATGACATAGCGCTGCGTTGCTCACCGGGCATTTGTCCAGGACTGCAGCACTCATACAACTTTTGCCAGGGTCTACAATGAAATGAGAGTGTTCAGAACACACACCAGCCCAGATCCAGACCACAGTTATTAGTTTCATCAAAATCTTTGGCTTTAAACATGCTGGGCACATATTTAACCTCCTTTTGCCATATTTCCTCAGAACATAAGTTTTTTCCTTGAGCAGTGAATGTCAACGTAAGAAGAGTGAATATCTCCAATGTTTCCGATACATTAACAAATGTTCATCCTCAACAAAACATGATACAGCCTAATGCTTTCAAGGTTGGCTCGCAGAGGGAAAAACATCTTACCCAGAAAATTATGA